CTAAGACAAGAGGACTGCCAGGGGTCAAAAGGCCTAAGCTACACAGTGAGTTCCAGGCCAGCCTAAGCTACAGTGTAAAGTGTAAGGGCTGCCAACAAAAAGAACAAACCCGATGGGTAATGGTGGCGCAGGCCTTTAATCCCAGCACTCCAGAGGCAGAAGCAAGCAGATCTCTGAGTTCAAGACCAGCCCTGGTCTTCAGTTTTCCAGGACAGCCAAGGATATAAAGAAAAATCCTGTCTTGAAAAATAACACAAAACAAACGACCCCAAAAAATAAAATAACAAACCCAAAGAATTTCTTATATCCTAAAGATACTACATGATCTGGCCTCTGCTCATCTCTCTAAACTCATTTTGCCTCCCACTATTTCATTAGCTGCTTGTTCTCCTCTTGAATTTAAGATACTATCATAAATAAACTCGAATATATTTACTCTACCTACCCCGACAGGGGGAATGAATTGTGGGGCAGATGCTAGTAATATCAGCACTTAGGAGGTGGAAGCAAAGGACTGACAAGAGTTTAAGTCCAACCTAGCTCTATTAGCAAGATCCCTTTTCAAAGGATACCCCAACCTCTTTGCCCAAATCAAGTTCAGTTTGGTATGAACTGCATATTACTTACAATTACTAATGCTGTATCTCATACTTTGATCACTTAGTATAAAAGGGCAGTCAGAAGAAAAATTTTAAGTACCCCTAGAATCATTTGAAGCGAACACCCATAAAGTGAAACCAACAACCAGAATAAGCAGCTTTACTGTCTGCCTTGTTCACTCACATGGTCTGCATAATTAATATACAAACCTTCACTTAAAATACTGCAGCATCGCCGGGCGGTGGTGGCGCACGCCTTTAATCCCAGCACTCGGGAGGCAGAGCCAGGCGGATCTCTGTGAGTTCGAGGCCAGCCTGGTCTCCAAAGCGAGTTCCAGGAAAGGCGCAAAGCTACACAGAGAAACCCTGTCTCGAAAAAACCAAAAAAAAAAAAAAAAAACTGCAGCATCATAGGTTAAAATGAGTCAGGAATGGTGGTTTACACCTGTAATCCCTGCACTAGGGAAACTGAAGCAGAAGATCTATCTCAATTGTGAGGCCAGCTTGGACTATACAGAGTGCCAAGCCAGACAGAGCTACATATAAGACTGTCTCAAAAATCAAACAAGAAGTCACTTGAAATAGGGACTTTACAGCTGGGTGGAGATGGTAAATGCCTTTAATCCCAGCACTTGGGAGGCAGAGGCAGGCAGGATCTTTGAGTTTGAGGCCATCCTGGTCTATAGAACAAGTTCCAAGGTAGCCAGGGTTACACAGAGAAACCCTACTGGGGGTGGGGGGAGGGAGATAGGGATTTTACAATAACTACTAACTTCAAACTACTTTTGAAATTTATTGTCACAAATATCTAGTGTCACCAAAACACACCAGTAAGATACATGTCTCAATGTTGTAAGCTAGGCATGGTAGCTCACACCTGCAACCCCAGCACTTAGGAGGGCAAAGAAAGAACTGCTACAAGTTCAAGGCCAGCCTGGGCTACACAGTGAGTTTCCAGGCCAGCCTCACCTACAGAGTGAAAACTCTGTCTCATAAAAGTAATAAAATACGGTTACATATGGGCCTGATGGCATAGGCCTGTAATCCCAGTTACTGGGGAGACTGAGGAAGGCTGAAAGTTCAAATCTAGCCTAGGCTGCAGATGAGTCCATGGTCATACCCTAACAGTATAATTGAGACTATCTCAAAACAAAAGTAAAGTCAGGGTCGGGGAATATAGTTCAGTAGCAAAGCCCTTGCCGAGTATGTGTAATGCCCTGGGTTCAAGCCTCAGGCTGAAAAGTAACCAACTCGTTAATTAAAATACAGAGAGGCTAATAGTATAGCTAAGCTGTAGATAGCTAAGCAGTAGAACGCTTGACTAGCATCGAAGTTGGATTCAATTCCCAGAACCACAAAATTAGATAAGTAACATATTTATCACTAATGATTGGGTGTAACAACTGAGGTCCACTGGACAGAAGCATAAAGAAGAGAGGATATTATTAGGAATCCCCCTCCTTTTTTTTGGGCGGGGGGGGGGGGGGGGGGGGGGGGGGGGGCAGGATTTTGCAATATAGCCCAGGCTGGCCTCAAATCAACAATCCTCTCATCCCCTGGAGTGCTTTGATTATAGGTTTGTCGCATGATCTGCTTCCAATTTTTAAATTCTGCATTTATGAGCAATTTGTCATCACTGCTAGTAGTTATAATGCAGCAGAACCAAAAGTACTGTCTATAGAAATCCACTGATCTCAAATTAGTCTTTCAATGAGGTTAACCAATCTCTTGGCTCTTTAGGACGCGCCAAAAGAATAGTTTTAACACTCAACCTCCTCTTCTTCTTACTACTTCGACTCCGCCCCATGGACTAAGAAACACTTGAAGACTTTACTCTTCTAATAATTTACACCCCTAATAGACCAGGATGGACTTTTAAACGAAGTTAACGATGGACAGAGAAAGTATAAGGACTCTGAAAACACTCCCACAACCCACTATCAAACATGTGCACAGATCACTGCTCATTTGATGCATGCAGACTCTCACCAGTCCCAACTGAAATCGAGTCAAAAGTGCCTACAGTGGCCTGAAAACACCCCAGGAGGGCCTCATTATGTTGTCTTTGCTAACAGTGAACTCTTGGAGCCTGGGTCCTCAGGAAAACTAACAAACTCAAAGGCAAGGCTAAGAAAGGACTACGTAAAAATGTAAAAAAACAAAAACAAAACAAAACTTGAAATTCACTTGGCAAATGGACTGACCAGATTCTCCCTAAATATGCACAATTTGCAAGGTGAAGAAGAGCAGGAGTGTAAACGGCAACTCCTGATTTTAGCTGAGAGTACACGAGAATACTTCACAGAAAAATAGTTCTCGTCTACCAGACATATGACCTTCAAAAATTTTAAGTCTCACCAGGAATGGTGGCACACACCCAGTGATCCCAGCACTATTCAGAAAGGAGTATGATGCAGGAACATTATGAAAATAAGAGGCCAGCTACATCTACAGAGTAAGTTCTAGGGCTCAAGTCAGACCCTGTGTCCATTTCTTTTAAGTCTTAGGCAGGAAGTTCTGTCATTATCAGCCCAACATTCTCTCTGCAGAGTACTAATAAACCTTTCTCTTGAAAAGAGCCCCTGAGCTCAGTCTCCACACCTACAAATGGAGTCGGCCTATAATCCTGAAGATTTTTTTTTCCAGTCGAAAATACTACACCTAATGGGGGAAAATATCGGCAGATTAGATACATTCCCATTCTCTTCCTGGAGATTTCTGGGTAGAGGCTGTGTAAGTTGAGCACTGGACTTTGACTCAAAGTTAGTTATAGGGCTGGAATGAAGCTCAGAGAAACAGCACCTGCTCACTATGCCCCAAGCCTCAAGTTTAATTTCAAGCACCAAAGAGGAAAATAAAACAGAAAAAACAAGCTCCATATATTTTATGTCCCTAAGAAACATCACTGCTCCACGTAAGTAGACAAATCCTCAAAACAAAACAGCATTCAATACCTAGCCTTGTATTTTTAGTTAACAATATTTGTGTTAAATGCTCAAAACATAAGTATCACTACCAAACTAGCCATGTGAAAGGTGAAACACCATCCAGATAGTTCATACACATTTGGGCATGTGACACTAAATGGCTGAAAATTCTCACCACATACAACATCCTAAAGTATGAGTTTCCCCCCCCTCCAGGTTTGCCAGGGGAGTATAATCTGATGATATATAACCCGCAGAAAACACTTATTTCAAAGGAATGTCAGAAGACAGAAAGAACCAAATGAATAACCAACAGAGTAAAATTCTTAGTGAGGACTATTAGAAAATACAAGCAGAGCCAATACTGAAACAACAACAAGAAAAATCGGTGCCAATTGTCCACTTTATGCTACTGAACGTAAATTTAAAAAAAAACACATTTGGGTGCAAAAAGTGCAATTTCATGAAAACGACCCGAAAAGGGGACCCATCAGTAAGTGACTCTTAATTAAAGTAGTAACTTTAAGTAGAAATACATCTGTCTTGATGCAACCTCTCCAAATTATTTTTAAAATGTTTTTTCAACTGGAAAATAGCTTCCCCCATACAGTCTTAACCGCTAAGATTTCAAAACAGTCTTTTACTTACACAATCTCTAAGAATACGGCATTGAAAACAGAAAATCCACCTAAAGCTTCACTGTCTTCACCCGGTATAAAACCGTGATTAATGATCCACACTAAATGTAAAAGGCAAAATGGAGTTGTACAAGAGTTTCTTGCCTATTTCAACTCCCGACAGCCACGCGCGCTTCACAGTGGCAGGCTACCCCAGCGCGGTCGCGGGCCGGCCGGGAGCCCCCGCCCAGCCCGGCGCAGCCCTGAGAGGAAGCGACGGGGAGGGCGGGCGGCTGGGGCTCCACCAGGCCCGGCCGGGCGGGCGGGGGAAGGGGGACTGGAGGCGGCGGGGCGCGCTTCCGGGGACTGCGCGGGCGGGGCCGCCGCCTCGGGCGCGGGGCCCCAGGTTAGGGGCCGGGGCCAGGGGCTGCCGGCCGAGAGCAGCAGGTGGGGCGCGACCGCGACCAGGCGACGGGCGGGTGGCCGGAAAAGTGCCGGCCGGCCGGGCCCGGAGCCGAGGCGGCTGGAGGGAATGCTCCTGCTCACCTCAAGGCGACGACTCCGAGTCCGGCCTCTTCGCGCTCAGGACGCCTGTCCACGAGTCCGCAAGCTCGGAGACGAGGACCGGCAGCTCCGCGGGAGACGGCGGACTGAGGAGAGAACCGACGGAGGACCGCGGGCGGCGGGCGGGGAGCGCGAGCGAACGAGGGCGGGCGGTGGCGGGAGGGCGGGGAGCGACGTGCGCGCCCCCGAGCGCCCTGCGGGCTCGAGCTGGCGCCAGTCGCGGCCCCGCTCACGCGCGCACACTCACAATTCATCCACGATTGCTCAAGAGCGCAACCACGCCCTAAAAGCAAGACTCTCAACCAATCGTTGCAGCCGCGTGGAGCATCACGGGAACTCCGGGGCTATAAAAGACCGAGTTGCTATTTTATACTCACGGAATCACTCATCCTTTAAGTGAGCTGGGTGGGGATGGGTGCGCCTGCGCTGTTTTAAAGCCCTGCCCCAAACTGCCAACACTTCGCGCAAGCGAAGTAGATCTTCCTTGCCTGATATTACGCGTGCGCACCTACAGGCCTAACCCCGGAAGACCATACGCTTGCGCAGTGAGAACTACGGTGACCGTACACCCGGTGGGGCGCTGGCCAGTCATGGCGGAACCTTGGTCTGGGCAGTTTTTGCAAGCTCTGCCCGCTATGGTGCTCGGAGCGCTGGGCACCCTGGGCAGCGAGTTCCTGCGGGAGTGGGAGACACAAGACATGCGAGTGACTCTCTTCAAGCTGCTCTTGCTGTGGTTGGTGTTAAGTCTCCTGGGCATCCAGCTGGCGTGGGGGTTCTACGGGAACACAGTGACCGGGTTGTATCACCGTCCAGGTGAGGCTCCCTACGAACCTCCGTGGCCTGGCTGCCCCTGCCACCATCTGTACCACTTGTTTCTCCTGTGTCCGCATAAACGGCCACTGATCCCCCAGAAGCCTCGTTGTACCCAGACTTGCACCCCCATATCATTTTACACCAGAATCCCCACCTGTCCATCATCACATTGTAACTGTTTCTCAAAAACCCTTACCAGAAAATACTACTAGTCCCTAGCATCCCACCCCCAATCTTTTAAACTGTACTGGTGGCCCCTGACCTGTCCTGAGCTAATGCCTGCTCAGATCCCCACCCTCAGCCTCCTGCAGCTCTGGGTGTGTTCCTGCCTCCAGGTCTGGGTGGCCAGAATGGATCCACACCTGATGGCTCCACACATTTCCCTTCATGGTGAGTAAATCTCTGTCTATCCCAACCCCATGCTTGACAGGCAGAGGACACTCCAGTGCTGGTGACAGGGAAGAGAATTCTCAGGATGTGAGTGCACCAGCTTAGTGGCCTTTGTAAGAATCCTCCAATTCTGCAGGTAGAGCTCAGGATTGGAGTTGGGTGTTTACCAGTGCCTTAGAGCCTCTTATCAGCATATTCAGTGGGGATGGATGGTGGTGCTACCATCATTTTAGAAAGATGAAGTGGCAGGTCTATTGGAAATAAATCCCTTGGTTGGTAAGTCCTTCATTAGGAAAGCAAGAGCATCTGTCCTAAGCAAGTACTGTAACATTGGAGCTATAACTCCCAACCTAACAGCCTCTATTCTTAGCACACTACCTCATCAAGTCAGCCTCCTAATCTCTGGAAAAAAAAAAAAAAAAAAAAAAAAAACAGCTTACTTATCAAGACATTTCATTCAGCCAATCTCTGAGCTTCTGCCAGGTCATAGGAGGTCCAGAAAACAAGGACAACCCAGACTCTGCACACAGGGGAAGCAAGAGATTTAGAGGGGAAATAAGTAGAAAAGCAAAGCTGCTCAGGGGAGCCCCATCCCCACACACCATAACACCTAAACTGAGACCAGAGAGAGAAGACAGCAGTTTACTGGTAAGAAAAAAAAAATGGGTAAAACAGGCCCACTGCAAGGACAAATGTGACAGACGTATTGGGAAACACTAGAGCATAGGAGGACCCTAGAGCAATTGAAGGACTGATTCAGCAAGACAGTGGCCTGATCTAATTTGCCTTTGTGACTGCCTGCTTAATGGCAAGTATTCATGGATAGACTATTCTGCTATCCATGAAGTAACCTTGCTTCTCTCCTTTATTTTCAGGGAAATGGCAGCAAATGAACCTCTCAAAACCCACAGAGAATAAGGGAAGGCAGCAGCAGAAGGGTCTCCAGAGACATCACTGGGTCTGCTGGCTCCTATGTTGCATCCTGCTGCTGCCCAGACCCCCTTGGACAACTGCAGAGGGCTTGGGGTTGGGGGACTGGAGTACCACAGTGCTTCCAGGGTGAGCCTCCATTGCCTCCAGCCTTGCTTCCAACAGCTCCAGGTACTGGGCAGGTGAAGTTCGTCTCTACCCTGGTGTGTTGCCCTAAGACTTCTGTCAAGGGTCAGAGCTGAGAAGCATTCTGGTTGGGGAGGTCAGCAGCCCCCTTTTCACTGTCTTTTTCCTGCCCTCCTCATGCCCTTGGGATATGATCTTATAGAGATTTGTCCTTCTAAGAGGAATCTTGAGGATAATCAGTTCTAAGATTTATAAGGCAAGTCTGTTCTCCCCTAAGCTCTGATTTCCTTGGCTTTGCTTTGTAGGCAAGAAGCCAGCAAATCCTGGCTAGGCTAGAGCACCAAACATGTACCTCCCTGGCCCAACTAGTCTTCTAGATCTGAGGCAGGCAGAGGAAGTTATCATTTCCTAACTGACCTGTTTCTCTGTTCTTTGGGGGCAAGTTGAGTACCTGAAAGACAGAGTGCACTAAGAGTCCCTGGTATTAACTGCCGTCTCCACTGCTCAAGTGCCCATGGGGTGTTTTGGTTTGTACCTTGTCCCCTCCTAGGGAGGTACTAAGCAGTCATTGTGCCCTACCTCCTTATCACTTCCCATCTTGACAAGGGCCTCATCTTAAGAGCCTGCTAGTATCGTTTCAGCCCTTAGGAATATCCGTAAGAGTGAGCCACAATCCAGATAGCCCTGGGCCCTTCACAGTGGGTCAGGAGAGGTTCCAAAGGGGTGGGTGGCAAATGTCCCCAGGAAAACACCAATTTCTGAGATCACTATGGTTCCTAAAAGCACTGTGGCCCTGGATCTGTCTTCTTCTCTAATGGTTATACTTCTGCCTGTCTCTGCTGGTTACTAGCTACCTCAGATGTCCCACTGTCTCTGTCAGATGTCACATAGCCTTCTGGCAACCTTTGTCTCCAAAGACTTTGTAGCAGGTGTACTATAAATGAAACCGTACTGAGCTCCTCATGCACAAGTACCTACTCCAGCAATGCATCTGTATGGCAGAAAGATGTTCTTCACAGCCTCAGGTCCACCCACTGACATCACTACAAAGAGTCAAGGTCTCACATTCCACCCCAGGAGTAACTGAAGATGTGGCATATTAAACACAGAAGTGTATCAGTTGTGTGGTTATTCCAACAAGACAAGGGTTGTATCAGTTGTGTGGTTATTCCAACAAGATAAGGGTGTGTGCACATGGGCAGCTGGTAAGGGATCTTGGGTGTGCTGTCCTCAGGATCCAAAATACAGTAATTTGCAGAGGTGGAGAACTGATGCCAGCTCCCTAGAGTGGTGGTAGGTTGTCCAAGAGGGGCAATATACCCATTAGTTTTTTTGGATTTGGGAGTGGGGGGCATTGGGAGAGTTGAATTAGTGTCTCATGTTGTCCAAGCTGGCCTTCAATTCAACATATTGCTGAGGATGACCCTGAACTCCTAACACTTTTGTCTCCAACTTGATGTGCTAGGATTACAGGGGTATGTTGCCACACCACATCTATATCTCTGTTAGTTCTTATATACATGGCCCCTTTCAAGGAAAGCCTCTCAGAACCTGTGTTGGAAGCCAAGAAGACAAGTATTGGATTGGCAGCCCAGGAACCCAGTGAACAAAAGAACAATAAAGCTAGAGACCATGGCAAGGAAGAAGGAAGGAAACTTTCTTATGATTTATTTTTATTTTATATGCATTGGTGTTTTGCCTGCATTTATGACTGTATGAGGATGTCAAATCACTTTGAGCTGGATAACAGACTTTTTTTTTTTTTTTTTTTTTTGGTTTTTCGAGACAGGGTTTCTCTGTGTAGCTTTGCGCCTTTCCTGGGACTCACTTGGTAGTCCAGGCTGGCCTCGAACTCACAGAGATCCGCCTGGCTCTGCCTCCCGAGTGCTGGGATTAAAGGCGTGCGCCACCACGCCCGGCTGATAACAGACAATTTTAAGCTGCCATGTGGGTGCTGGGAATTGAACCAGATCCTCTGGAAGAGCAACCAGTGTTCTTAACCACTGAGCCATCTCTCCAGCCCCAGAAGGAAACTTACTTTGATTTTTTTTTTTCCCCCACGTTAGTAAAGTACAGTTATTCACAACAAGAGCCAAGGTCAGCCCAAGTACCAAGCCTGCCATATCTTGCTGCTTCACAACAGGCTGAGCTGACTAGGGAATGTGGAAGGGTGAGTCTGTGTTTGCTTAGCCAGCCCTAAGTTTGCGCACAGGAACAACTCGGCCAACACTGAGTCAGACGTCATTTTTATCCAAGGAAAGGCAGGGTGTGCATTCATGGGGAGCAGAGTGGAGGAGGTACCTAAGCTCACACTGCCCACAGTAATAGCCCTTTGAAATTAGAGAAACCATGGTGAGGTAGGTTGGGCAGGTGTTATCCTCCAAAGGCAGATGTTTGTTATAGCCAGCACCTGGCAGAATAAGGTTAGTGGGATTGCGGACTAAAATAGAACATTAATTAAGGTGATTTGTTATTTTAAAAAATTGGGCCCTAAAGTTAGGATGGCTTGATAGAGAAGAATAGATGGGATGTTCTCCCGACCCTAACCAGACCACAGCAAACAGCATTCAGCTTCCACCCCACCCCCACCCCGACAGTTCTGCCTCACTGTTCTGACTAAGCACTATGGAATGCCTTCGAGGACAAGACTCCTGGGGGAAGGGCTTTTCCATGGGCCATCTTCACTTGAGAGTATAGTAGTTGGTGGGCACAAAGGGCATTTTGCTAACCACCATCATTTGCTGCTTCCGCCGAACCTCCACCAGCAGCTGTGTCCCTGGCCGACTGTACTTGAATGGCACATAACCCATTGCCACATTCTTCTTCAGGCTGGGTGAAGGGCAGCCACTGGTCACTGTGCCTGTCCAGGCATAGGCCATAGGTTAACACCACCCTGCCAGCCCAATATCCCTACCCTGGACACCCTGCCAGCCAGTGTCCCCATCCTAGACCACTTACCAATCACAGTGCCTTCTGTGCTCAGGATAGGACTGTGTGCTCTCATTGGGGCCCCTTCACATATCAACCCCACACGTCTCTTCTGCACCTCACCCTTCAGCTGGGGAACAATGATTTTGGCTCCTGGGAAGTCCATGGCAGTTCGGCGGCGCTTTCCTGGAACAGAATACACCAGATGTAAGCCATAACAAAGCCCTGGACACAGAAAGTCTTTACTACCAAGGTCCCAAGTGTCATCCATCAAGCATCACTTGGGCTCTATTCTTCCCCTGCACTACAGTCAGTCAATCAACCATCTCCTACCCCCTGGAAGCCATACTTAGGGTCCTCAGTTTATAATAGGGAAGTCACGGTAGCACCTTCAGGGAATGAAGGCTCGGCAAGGCTGAGTTACTTGTTCCAGCATATACAACCTTAGAAGTAGTTATGGGCTGGCTGGTCTCATTAAAAGGTGTTCTAATCTTCAGGACCCCTTGAAGGCTAGCCCAGCTCACCCAGTGTCCAGCTGAGGCTGCCTTCCACAGGTGTGGTCTGTTCATCAATGTCATTCCCATACAGACAGAGGCCTGCCTCCAAGCGCAGGCTGTCTCTGGCTGCTAGTCCTGCCAGCTTCACCTCTGGGTTTTTCAGCAAAGCAGTTGCCAAGTGGACTGCCCCTGCTGCTGGCACTGAGATCTGCACAAAGGACCAGAGAGCAGACAGGCAGTCACCCCTCTTGAATCCTGTACTTTTACCATTTTTGGTTGTACGGAAGTGAAACATTCTACCACTGCATTATATGCCCCATTTCCCCCTACCCCCACCCCTCTTTCTGAGACAGGTAGCCCAGGCTGACCTGTAACTTAGGATTCTCCTGTCTACTTCCAGGGTGCTGGGATCATAGACATGTGCCACCCCATGCCAAGCTTTACAACTATATTTTTTGTTTTGGGATTTTGTTTTGGCTTTATTTTCTCTGGGATAGGCTCTCATTATGTAGCCTTGCTTAGCTTGGAACTTACTATGGAAACCCAGCCCACCATGAACTAAGATGTTCCTGCTTCTATCTCCATAAGCACTGGGGTTACAGGTGTGAGAAACCATGGGGAATAACTACTTGTCAACATACCTCCACGCCATCTTCTCCTGTGTAGCCACAGCGGGTCACGCGACAGCCAGACACACCAAACACCTCCATCACAGCACTGGTCATGAAGGGCAGTTTCCTCAGATCATCTGTCACACCAGCCTGTAGCACTTGCGCTGCAGTGGGTCCTGGGCCCAAAGAGAATAACCCAGGATCTTGGACCCAACACCACCTAGACTATAGCCCTTGCTTAGGAAGCAGAACAGGTCCCAAGCAAGCCCAACTGTGCAGGAGGGGAGAGGATGTCCTTGTCCCTAGCCCATGGATAGCTTTGCAGAGAGGAGAGTGAAGATACTTAACTTTGGAATTATGGCATACAGATGTCACAGCATCCATACCTTCCTCTTGGAATATTATCCATGTTAAGCAGCAAATAAAGTCAGGAAGGCCAGGGCTGCCTCTAGCCCCAACCTGGCACTCTTACCTTGTAGAGCTAACAGGGCGTTATCTACCACCTCCAGGCCTACATCACTGCCCCTGTTCTGGAACTCCTTGACCTTGTCCTGAAATGAAAAACAGGAACATATCAGTGTTTGAAACCATTACTGAGCACCTACTATGGGTTGGACACTGCAGAACTGGGCAGTTAGATAGCAGGCTGGTTACCATCTTACAAGTCACACAGCTGCTAAATGGTAAGGATGACCTAAGCCCAAGTCTGTCTGTCACCTCATCTACCCTTACCAGAGGATGCTCATTTCAGGGTCAGGGTCAGCTTTATCTCCCACCTTCTCTAGTCCCCATCCCCAAACCCTGCTGTGCACCAGAGAGTACCTACTCTTTAGTCTATTGACTGTTCTTTTATTCTTTTTATTCTTTTTTTTTTTTTAATTTTTTAAATTTTTTTTTTTTTTGGGAGGGAGGGTTTTTCAAGACAGGGTTTCTCTGTGTAGCTTTGCACCTTTCCTGGATCTTGCTTAGTAGACCAGGCTGGCCTCAAACTCACAGAGATCCGCCTGGCTCTGCCTCCCGAGTGCTGGGATTAAAGGCGTGCGCCACCACCGCCTGGCGACTGTTGTTTTAGTAAGTCATTTTCTGAGCCCCTATCTGCACTGGGCACTGCTTTATAAACAAAGAATACCAAGTACCTAGAATAAAAGGCAGCTATACCTGCATGAGAGCCAAGTCCTTGTCCCAGCAGCCAGCGTTGGACACGACATACAGGTGCCCCTCTGAAGTATTGGTCACAATCAAGTCATCTAAGATGCCTCCAGCTTCATTTGTAAACAGTGACAGTATTCCCTAGCAGTAAAACAGAACATCCTTGTCTTCGAGTCCAGGACGCCAAAGCCAAGTGTGAGCCAGAAACATTCTTAGATTCACTCAGTTTCCATAAATTCATGAATGCAGTTCCGGGTAAAGTGTGCAAGGTAAGGCTCAAATCTAGGGTCTTTGATTTTCATTTGTCAAGTAATTTTTACTCCTCCCACTTTAGGGGACCTTCCCAGGTGAGTGGGATCCTTTGGCTCCCTCACTACTCAATTCTTAGAAATCCATTTCATGCTCTATGACACCTAGGAATTACTGCTTCACCCCATCCCAGTATCTCCACCCATGTGCCAACCTCCAGGATAAAGACCTCAAAGCCTCAAAGACCATCTTCATGATCCCACGGGCTCCCATCACATTCTTTAGCAATGGGTTCAAAACACTGTAAGGCTGGCCTTCTCCTTCTAACTGGATGGCCAAACCCTGAGATTGATAAGTCACGTGAGCCACCTAGAGATCTTGTAAAATCTAAGGTTCTGGCTCAGCAGGTTGAGAGCAGTGCCTAAGCATATTCCTAAGACAGTCCTAGAAAATGGAGAGGCTGCTGGTTTAGGGATCATGCTATAAATGTCAAAGGTATGGGCAGCATGAAAGGTCAAAGCATATAAACTTGGGTTTTTGGCCTTTCAAAACCAAATGTAGTAAGGCTGGGATAGTGCTTTTCCAAAGCTGGCTGGATATCTGGAAATGACCCAAAGACTCCTTCAAGATAGCAAGGCCTGAGAAGCTATACCTGACCTATCTTTGTGCCTCCTAAGCTTGA